ATGAATATAAAATAAAATAATTGTTCGGTGTCTTATGAGTAAAGTTAAGTTGGGCTAATTCTGAGTTAAACATTTGCATTACTCTAGCTTGGATGGCTTTATTAGCAAGGCCATACCACGAATATATTACATTAATTTCCTCTTTTCTATTTTAATGTTTAATAAAGGCAAGTTGAATTTTTTGTTTGCGAAAGGACACACACACATAATAGTTGTACGCATAATTTGACGCAGAAGCACAAAATTTGACAATGGACGTTAAATGGTGCTAAGTCGGAGACCAGACAAAAAATGCATACTGGGAACAAGAGAAACTCTCGGATAATAATGAGAAGAGTTAAATATAGGAAGAATCTCCTAAAATAAAATTGTTGTGAAGACTTTCACTTCATATGGATGTGCATGATAAAGAGATTTGTAGGTCAAGCTCATCAGAAGACGCCAGCTCATTCGCGTTGTGCTGCAGCCGTTTGGCCTTAATACGACGCTGAGGTTGATGCAATGCACGAGACAGCTTCCAACGTTTAGAGCTAAGACGATCTGAGTTTTCGTTCATCATATGACGAACATTGTCAGAGCTAAGACTCATTCTTGCAAAATCCTCAAGTTAACACTAAGTTAAGAAGACTGATAGGCTTTCTCAATTACAAGACATGGCTGATGGTTTGGGTAAAGTAAACTATAAGATGACTGGGAGGGATCACGATTAGGAGCCAAAAATACTTGGGTAGAGGGACTTTGTAGCTAAGACAAAGATTAATAAGGATAGGCCTAACAAATTTTGCAACGATATGATAATATGTATTCACCCAATTTCGTTTAAGTTGATGAAGGACTGGTAGAAGTAGAATTTTCCCACAAATGATATGAGTTGAGCTGACGTTTCCATTAAATTTTTACATAGCTTTGCTTTGCTAAAAGTTGTTCTCATCCAGGGTGACTGCAGTTTCGATCTCACAACACCTTCAGCGGGAGTCGAACCGCGACAGTGCAAAACGGTAGT